CAACCAAGGTCGTCGCTAGGATCTGCGGAATGTCTGATGCATCAAACAGGTCCCTCGGGAAAAAAAAAATTGTTGCCTGATGCTGACTAGCCCATCAGATTAATCCAAAAAAACATGTCTGATCATCAGCCAAACAGACAAAAAATGTATGCTATCGACGACCTTGGCAGCAAACCCGGTAACAGAAGAAGAGCAATATTCGCGGTTACTGTAGCAATGCCTGTCAATAAGTCATAATCAAGGAATTTACCCCTCTAACAGGGCTAACGTTTCAAAAAACGGTCTCTGATTCTGACCCCCCATAATTTTTTATACTCTGACAACACATTGGCCGGAAAATGGCTAGTCTAAAACTAAGGGCGTGTAACCATTTTGCCACTTTTTGCCTCAGACGGTCCGAATTGTGGACAGTTCGGGGTTGTGAAGGGTAACCAGAGTCGTGATATTAAGTTAAGGTAGTCGTTAGTGCCTTTGCGGCGTCGCTAAAATCTCGGACGGTAGTGACATTTCTTTCCCAATTCAACCAGTCAAAATGTGAGAAGCGGACTGTCCGAAACGCATTCGGACCGTCCGAAATTCCTTGCACAAGATTGGCGGGCAAAATGGAAAAAACTTACAATTTCAAAGTCGTGTCGTCAAATGTCACGTGGGAAATAAGTATAGGTTGCGAAGGGCGTAAATTGGGCTACGATAGGTACAGTAATTCTCGCAATTTCACTAGAAATAAACATTCCGAACTCCATCACCATCCTCCTCCTCCAGGTTATCTTCACTAGCATCACTATCCCCACTAACAGCCTGTGCATCACCACCTAGGTCTGTTAGCCCCCCTTGGAACCCTGCGCCACTCCTCCTCGATGCATCCACTTTTGCCGCCTTGCGCTTGGTGGGTCGCCTCTTCTTGGTGTTAAGCCACAGTGCCACAACTTCACTCCACTCCATGTCGTACTCTAATAGACTCAGCGTTGTGAGGCCACCCAGCCTAGCATCGCACAAGCTGGTCCGCTGCCAGCTCGCAATCACAGTTTGGCGTGAAAATCCATTCTCGCATCCCACCATGCTGAGCAGCAACACCGCCACAGCCGCACCAGGTTCGGATAAGTTCTCGGCCAGTCCGCTGTTCACATGATCGCCCTCAAGCCCACATGGAAGGGCTGCTCCTCTTTTGGTGCCCCGAATAGCACATGCAAAAACGTGCACATCTCGTTCCGCACTTCACGATTGGTGCCTATTTAGTGGGTGCGGGGATTAAGGGCAGAAACAACAACGCGGGTTTCAGTAAGGATCAGGGAAACACTGCACAGTTGATGGGCAAACAAATGTGAAAACTCACACAGCAGAATCTTTTCTCCTTCGCGCACGTGGAACATCACCACCAGCCGTTCCAAGTGTTCCGCGCACTCGGTGTCCCTCGCCTCTTTCCCACACGACCAGGATCGTGGCATGAACAGCTTCGCGGCATTGAGACTCGACAAATCTCCTAGCCGGAAGCAAGGGTGAACCCATGCTCCCTCGACTGACTATCGGTTTCTTCTCCCTGCACAGTCACGCGCTTGCTACATGGTGCACCGTAGCGAGCAAGGTATGGCGTCAATTGTGCGCTCGCCCTAGCACCAAAGTGTTGCCCATATTGAAGTAGGCTAGAGCTTGCTCTGGTCTTTATTTTGGTGTTTTTTCTAATATTTCGCCATGCTTCGAGAGAGTTACGCTTTTAGGATCATTTTAGTTTTATATCCTAGCTTTAAGTCCAAACTGAACATGCCTTAGGTTCAATTAGGCTTTTCAACCCTTCTCTCATTTTGTACCTCGTCAGTTTCTTCTACTACAACTTTTTTGTCCCTACCTAACTCTCTCGCCATTCATGGCTCCTCAGATATTAACATGGTATTCAGAGTGTAGTCCTAGGCGTTTCCTTCTTACCCGTATTGTCAAACATTATATATGTTATGCTTGTGTAGGCTACAGTGGGTTAGCCTATAGGGGGTACACAATTCTAGGGTTTCCTACTTGTACTCATTTCACTGCTAGTTCATTCATTCCTGTTCGCTTATTCTCACATGGTATAGAGCGGGTCCTTCTACGGACCGTTTTTTTTTTTGGGCCCACCGAAGCGCCCCCCGAGGCGCGATCTTTTTTTTAGCGACCCCTCGGGTCGCCATTTCCCCTGCGGCCCCGCCGCCTTCACTGACGCGGCCCCGCCGCCCTCTCTGTCGCGGCCCCGCCGCCTGCTCTCACGCGGCCCCGCCCCGGCTCCTTCGCGGCCCCGCCGCCTGCTCTCGCGCGGCCCCGCCCCGGCTTCTACGCGGCCCCGCCCCGGCTTTCACGCGGCCCCGCCGACGGCTTTGTCGCGGCCCCGCCCAGGCCCTTACGCGGCTCCGCCGCCTGCTCTCACGCGGCCCCGCCCCGGCTCCTTCGCGGCCGCGCCGCCTGCTCTCGCGCGGCCCCGCCCCGGCTTCTACGCGGCCCCGCCCCGGCTTTCACGCGGCCCCGCCGACGGCTCTGTCGCGGCCCCGCCCAGGCCCTTACGCGGCCCCGCCGCCTGCCCCCGTCGCGGCCCGGTCACCTCCTGACGGCCCCGCCGTCCCTTCCTGACGGCCCCGCCGTCCCCTCCTGACGGCTCCTGCCGTCCCCTTCTACCGGCCCCGCAACTGCACCTGCTGGCCCCGCCGCTGCACCTACCGGCCCCCCACCACCCACCCCCCCTTTTCCCGTCGCCCGTCGCGGCTCCTTCGGGGGCCGCAGCAGAGGGGTGGCAGGTGTGTGGCCTCCCCTGCTTCTCCTCCTCCTTCATCTCCCACTGCAGCCTGCACGAGAAGATCTGGCTGCGCCGTCCACCTGCCTTCACTGGGACTTTCCCTCCTGGCACCCAGTGGAGCCTCCGACGGCCAGTCTACGGTCTCCGCCAGGCACCGCGTGAGTGGCACGACACACTGAGGACTACGCTTGCGGCTCTTGGGTTTGCTCCTTCTACTGCTGACCCATCGCTGTTTCTGCGCACCGACACTTCACTGCCGCCGTTCTACATCCTCGTGTACATCGACGACTTGGTCTTTGCCACAGCGGACACTGCTGGACTCGCCTACGTGAAGTCCGAGCTGCTGAAGAGACACACGTGCACAGACCTGGGTGAACTGCGCAGCTACCTTGGCTTGCAGATCACTCGGGACAGAGCACGCCGCACCATTACCTTGACTCAGTCACACATGGTGCAGCAGGTCCTTCAGCGCTTCGGCTTCACGTACTCCTCGCCTCAGGCCACTCCTCTGCCTACTCGCCACTCACTTTCAGCTCTGCCTTCGGATGAGTCCGTAGAGTCGAGTGGTCCGTATGCAGAGCTTGTTGGCTGCCTCATGTACCTGATGACCTGCACACGACCTGACCTTGCATATCCTCTGAGCATTCTTGCACGCTATGTTGCTCCTGGGAGACACAGACCAGAGCACATGGCTGCAGCGAAGAGGGTATTGCGCTACCTGTGCAGTACGTCGGGCATGGGGCTTGTGCTTGGAGGGCGGAGTCCAGTGGTCCTTACCGGCCACGCGGACGCTTCTTGGGCTGACGACCAGGCTACGCAGCGGTCGTCACAGGGTTACACCTTCAGCCTTGGTTCCGGCTCTGTCTCGTGGCGGTCTACTCGCTCGTCTTCGGTTCTCGGCTCCAGTTGTGAGGCTGAGATCTACGCCGGGGCCATGGCTGCACAGGAGCTTCGCTGGCTCACCTACCTGCTGACTGACCTTGGAGAGCCGCCTCGTTCTCCTCCAGTGCTGTACGTAGACAACAAGGCCATGCTGGCCTTGTGTCGAGAGCAGCGCTTGGAGCACAGAACGAAGCACATTGCTCTCCGCTACTTCCTTGCTCGTGAGCTGCAGCAGCGTGGTCAGTTGCGACTTGCGTACGTGGCCTCTGAGGCCAACACTGCTGATGTGTTCACCAAGGCACTCGCGCCTTGTGACCATCAGCGCTTTTGCACCCAGCTGGGTCTTGTGCCTGTCTTGCCTCACTTGCTCTCCTCTTGACTTCACTTGTACTGTGACATATATATATACCTGCTCTTGCTTGTCTAGTTTTATATATACGTCTGTACTCCTGCATGTGAACTGGCCTCTAGCCCTGCTCTTGTGCTCGGACTGTGTGGTGACTTTGTGATCCACCCTGAGCTTGCTTTGCTTTGCTTGACTGGTCTTGTGACCCCTTGTTCTCCCCCACTTTGCCTATGGGGGTGTGTCAAACATTATATATGTTATGCTTGTGTAGGCTACAGTGGGTTAGCCTATAGGGGGTACACAATTCTAGGGTTTCCTACTTGTACTCATTTCACTGCTAGTTCATTCATTCCTGTTCGCTTATTCTCACACGTATTTCTTAGATGATCTCAAGCCCTTAGGCCATTTCCGCACTACTTAGCTAGACGGTATTTCATTCTCTCTTTTCTTTCTTGTCGCTCATTATTCGCATTTTTCGTCACACTAAACTCTCGCGGATTCCTTAATCCAGTCCGTAGCGTGCCGCCATACCGCCAGTATCACCCTCCCACGCCTCCTTCTCCTCATGTTTGAGGCAGTAGCGCGCCCATTTTTGCCTGAAGCGCGCTCTGCCGTGCGCCCTTCGCACCGTCCAGCAGAGCACGCGCTTGCCTTTCCTTGCGGCGCGCCCTGCCCTTCCTCAATCCGCCCCCTCCCTCACCCTCCTCCTCCTTTCGTCTCTCCTTTGTGCTTTCCCCCACTACCTCACCTCTTCCTCCTCCTATTTTCTCTCTTCATCTGCTGCAGCTCATAGCTACTTATGGCGCGCCCTGCCCTTCCTACAATCTACCCCTTCACCATCCTCCTCTCCTTTCTCCCACTAGTTCCCTCTCCACTATCTCACCCCTTCCTCCACCTCTTTCCTCTCTTCATCTGCTGTAGTTGGTTGCTGACTGTGTGTTGTAGCTGTTGCTCTTCCACACCTTCCCTCCTCCTAAGCATCCTCCCCTCAACAGCTCAACTGCAAACTCTTTCACAATGCTCCCTCCTCCTCTTGTTTCTCCCTTCAGCGGTGCAGCTGCAGACTCCTCCGCCGCTATCCCTCCTCCTCTTGTTTCTCCCCTCATCGGCGTAGGAGCAGACTACTCTTCCATTATCCCTCCTCTTGTTTCTCCCCTCATTGGCTTAGCAGTAGACTACACAACCATTATCCCTCCTCTTGTTTCTCCCCTCATTAACACAGCAGCAAACTTCTCCGCCATTATCCCTCCTCTTCTTGTTTCTCCCCTCATCGGCTCAGCAGCGACTACTCCGTCATCATCCCTCCTCTTGTTTCTCCCCTCAGCGGCTCAACAGCAAACTACACTGCCCTTATTCTCCCATCTTTTATGCCTCTCCCCTCAACTGCTCTGCAGCTGTGTCCTCCTCCTCATGGCGACTTCTCTCACCCTCCCCTCCCTCCCTCTACTGGTCCTTCAGCTTGCGCCCGATGACAGTGCGGTCAACTTCCCCAGTTGGCTGTTCTGTCTTGAGCGCACGCTGTCTTGCACACTAGTGAGTGGCTATAGCCTCTAGCTTATCACTCAGCAGAGTGGTTCTGGCGCCATTCCTACCTCTGCCTCTGCACCTAACTCTTCCTCCTCTGACCCCTATGCTGATGGCCTCCGTGCAGCTATCGCTGAAGCTGAGCGGATTGCGGCCACGGCCCAAGCCACTGCTGCGGCTGCCCCTGACAATGCTGCAGCCCGTGACCTAGCTCGTGTTCTTGCTGAGTTCCTCGAGAGCACCCGCAAGCGCCTCACTGAGCACCTCGCTGCAAAGATAACTTAATCAACCGGAAGTAGTCTACGTGCTAGGCACAGGGTGGACGTGATCTCTGCTTTCGTTCCTTAGTTGTTTACTTGTTCTCTCACTACTTGCGCATTCACGGGGAAATCCGGCAAGAGTTTCACTAGCAAAAGTTGACAACAATTGTACACAATGGCAAGGCAACAATGACTACATCAAATGCTAGCATGTAATCTGGTCGACTGCCAGTGCGGTACGGGCGATTGTGTGCCAGCACGACAAGGTCAACTGTGCTCAAGCAGAGCAAAGTCGTGGTCTGCCAACGTTGCAGGTTGACGGCGTACCAACACTACAGCAAGGCAACTGCACACTGTTGCACCCGTAGGACAGCAGCGCGCCTGCCTCGCAGGTGCTCGCAGCTGGTTGGCGTGCTGTGCACAATCATGTGCACAGCGCAGACCTCGGGCTGACCACATGCACACAACTGCATCTGATCCTCCATGTCGACCTTGAGATACCACACCAAAGTCTACCTCGCCACAAACACCTGGGCGACCGTTGCGTGCCTCCGCAAAAACCCGTCGCCCCTGTAACCTGGTTGACTGGGCAACCACGTCGGCCAACAGCCCCTCCTTGTGCCCGTCGACCACCAAGGTCGACGACCACCACCAGTCGACCACACCAAGCCGACCACGGTCAACAGACCCAAGTCGACCACACTCTTGGTCTACCAACTCCATCTCAACCAGCACAGCTGTTAGCCGACCATGCCAGGATGGCTTCCCCAAGTCGGCATCACCAAGTCGACACACCCGATGTCAACCTCGCCAGATCGACCACCCAAACTCGGCGCCCCCAAGAGTCGGCGCCCTTGCAATGACCCCCATGTAGGTCGACCAGCCCCGTCGACCAGCTCGACCACTGCTGCAGGCCGGCTGCACCCCCCGCACACCCGAGCACAAAGTCGGCTCCGCCCAAGCGAGGACGGGGCCAACCACAACTCCCGTTGACACTCCCCTGCCGCGTTCACGCTTGGGCCCCCGGCCCGCACATCAACACAACTAGGAGATTAGCTCGTCAGCGTGCACACAACACACAGCACACCGGTCACCGCACCAGCCATGCAAGAGGGCACAACACCTACTGCTGCACGTCGTTGTCACCGTCGCCGACGTCGGCCAGTCGCACATGGCTAATTGCGACGGAGCACCAGTTGAAGGCCGGATAGTGCAACGCCTTCGTTAGGAAGTCGGCTGGCTGCTCAGTGGTCGGGATATACTTCAGCGTGAACTTCCCGCGCTTCACCATGTGCTGCAACCGTCGATCCATGTGCTTGAAATTTACATGCAGCCCCAAGCCCTCAACAACTGTAATTATCGACATTGTGAAAATAGTACGAGTGAATGGTGTGGACTAGGAAGGATATGGGTACAAGTAGGAAAACCTAGAAAAGTTGTACCCCAAAATGTCTACCCCACTACAGCCTAAACAGGCTATATCATATATGTTTGACACACCCCCATAGGCAAAGTGGGGGAGAACAAGAGGTCACAAGACCAGTCAAGAAAAGCAAAGCAAGCTCAGGGTGGATCACAATGTCACCACGCATTCTGAGCACAACCACAAGGCCACAAAGCAAGTTCACATGTAGAGTTATATATCAAGGTGAACAAGCAAGACAGTGATCTCAACCAAGCAAGGGTAAGCATGCAGGTGTAGGTATATATAGATCACAGTACAAGGAAAGTCAAGAAGTGAGCAAGTGAGGCCAAGTAGGCATAATACCTAGCATAATACAAAAGCGCTGATGATCACAAGGCTGAAGTGCCTTGGTAAAGATATCAGCAGTGTTGGCCCGAGTGGCCACGTAAGCAAGACGAAGCTGACCACGCTGCACCAACTCTCGAGCAAGGAAGTAGCGCAGAGCAATGCGCTACGTTCTGTGCTCCAGTCTGTGCTCCTAACACAAGGCAAGCATAGCCTTGTTGTCGACGTACAGAACTGGAGGAGAACGAGGCGCCTCTCCCAAGTCGGTCAGCAGGTAGGTGAGCCAGCGTAACTCCTGTGCAGCCATGGCCCCAGCGTAGATCTCAGCCTCACAACTGGAGCTGAGAATAGAAGACGAGCGGGTAGACCGCCACGAAATAGAGCCGGAACCAAAGTTGAAGGTGTAACCCTATGACGACCACTGAGTAGCCAAGTCGTCAACCCAAGAAGCGTCTGCGCGACCAGTGAGGACAACTCGATCCCGTCCTCCAAGCACGAGCCCCAAGCCCGACGTACTGCACAAGTAGCGCACACCCACTTAGTTGCATCCATGTGCTCTGATCGGTGTCTCCCAGGAGCAACATAGCGTGCCAAAATGCTAAGAGGGTATGCCAGGTCAGGTCGAGTGCAGGTCATCAGGTACGTGAGGCAGCCAACAAGCTATGGGTACGGGCCACTCGGCTCTATGGACTCATCCAAAGGAAGAGCTGAGAGCGAGTGGCGAATAGACAGAGGAGTGGACTAAGGCCAGGAGTACGTGAAGTCGAAGCGCTGAAGGACCTGCAACACCATGTGTGACTGAGTCAAGGTAATGGTGCGGCGTGTTTTGTCCCGGGTGATCTGCAAGCCAAGATAGCTGCACAGCTCACCCAGGTCTGTGCACGTCTGTCTCTTCTGCAGCTCCGACTTCACGTGGGCCAGCCAAGCTCTGTCAGCAGTAGCAAAGACCAAGTCGTCGATGTACACAAAGATGTAGAACGGCGGCAGAGTAGTGTCGGTGCGGAGAAACAACGACGGGTCAGCAGTAGAAGGAGCAAACCCAAGAGCCATAAGCGTAGTCCTCAGTGTGTCGTGCCACTCACGGGGCGCCTGGCGGAGACCGTAGACTGGCCGCCGAAGGCTCCACTGGGTACCAAGAGGAAACGACCCAGTGAAGCCAGGTGGGCGGCGTAGCCAGATCTCCTCGTGCAGGCTGCCCTGTAGGAAAGCAGTGCTGAAGTCAAGAGACTGAAGCTCATAGTCACGTTGAGCAGCGACGTGCAGCAGAACCCGAAGAGTGCTCATCCTCGGGGTAGGGGAGAAGGTATGAAAGTAGTCAACTCCCTATCGCTGACTGAAGCCTTGAGCCACGTAACGCGCCTTTAGGACAGGCGGAGAACCCGGCGGCCGCTTCACCGTGAAAATCCACATGCCGTCGACAATGTTCGCCCCAGGTGGGGGAACCTCGTCAACGTAGGTGCCTATGGACTTCCAGAAGCCATCTCTGCATCCATGGCTGTCTGCCACTGAGAGGAGTAGGGACCCTCTATTGCCTCTCCGTAAGAGCGCGGGGTCGGGATGTCTGGTGCATCCGGGTCTCCCTCAGGGGCAAGCAACATGGACACGAGATGAGGTAAAGCAGCAGCAAAACACTGGAACTCCTCCTGCCTGTCCTCAAGGACGTCCGTGCCAAGAGCACACTCGCCCCCGACAGACGAAGGACAGACAGACTCAGACTCAGCAACAAGACTAGCAGCGTAGTCTAGACGACAGTGAGCAGCAAAGTCGACAAGCTCAGCAACTAAGGCAGACGCAGCAGTGGACTCAAAGGAAGGGTCAGTGACAGCAGTGGCCAGGAGACGCAAAACAATATGACTAGCAGCCCGAAGGGAGTTAGACTCCGGGTCAACAAGGGTAGGAGGAGAGGACGCAGGAGGAGACGGCAGAGGGATACGCTAAGGAGCAGTGGAAGGACGCAGAGCCATCTGGTGCGTGCCAGGGACAGGAGAAGGACGCTGACGCGAACTACAACGACTAGTGCGAGCAGCACGAACAGGCGACGCAGGACGAGAGTCAGGCTAACGATGCTCCGTAAGACCCCTTGTCGGACCAGTGTAAGGAGAAGGAGCAGGTAGTGGGGAGGTGGGCTGTAACTGGGACTATGACTGGACAGGTGGTGGACACTCTAAGGAAGGAGCAGGACCAGTAGAAGGCGGGAGACCAAGAACCTGCTAAAGGAGTGGAACGAAGTACGGCCACGGCCGTGCAGCGCCTCTACAACCAGCAAGGACAGCACCAGCACCCCTAGCGTCAGCTCCAGCTCCAGCAGCACCACCAGCTCCAATAGCACCTCCAGCAACTCCAGTAGCACCCGCTCCAGCACCCACAGGAGCACTGGCTCCAACAGCACCTCCAACTCCAGCACCTCTAGGAGCTCCTGCTCTAGCAGGACCACCAAAAGCCCCAGCAGCTCCAGTAGCGCCAGCTCCAGCACCTCCAGCAGCACCTGCACCAGTAGCACCTCTAGCTCCAGCACTTTTAGCAGCTCCAGCCCCAGCAGCACCACCAGGCCCAGCAGCTCCAGTACCTCCAGTACGAGCACCTCCGGGACAAGTGGCTCCAGAACCCTCAGCAGCTCCAGCACCAGCAGGACCTCTAGCGCCCGTAGCACCATCAGCTCCAGCAGCACGGCTCTAGCGCCAAGCAAACCACTCGCGTAGCTGCTGTGGAGAGAGCAGCTCCCGCTTGGACGAAGCACCCGAAGAACCTCCAGGCACTGCACCCCCAGGCTCCACACCCTCCGGCTCAGTGCTCGCAGTCTCCGCGGCCCTAGACTCAGCAACTAGCAACCCAAGGCTCAGCACCCTCAGACTCAGCACCCCCAGGCTCAGCACCCCCAGACTCAGCACCCCCAAGCTCCGCACTCTCAGGCTCAGCACCCCCAGCCCTGGCACCCGCAGGCTCAGCACCCCTAGTAGCACCAGAGTCAACAGTTACCTCGACACGCTCAACTGCGTCTAACTGGGACACACCTGAGGGGGCAGGACCCTGAGGTGGGAGGGGGTCTACCGGGGGGGGACCTGGCGCGAGGAAGAGCGGCGGGGGGGGGGGGAGGGGGGCAGTGCGGCAGGGGAAGAAACGGTTTTAGGAACCGACTCGTCAATGGCGTCGTGAGAGGACAGAACACGGCGCGAGGTGGGGTGGTGAAACTGCCAATTAGGCGCGTTAGGGGGGAAGCCAAGGAAGATGCAGGGAACAGCACGGGAGGACAGCTTGTCCGCAGACAAGTCGCGGAC